CCCCAAAACCCCAAAACCCCAAAACCCCAAAACCCCTCAGTGCGAAATATTTCTAGATTTTACTAAATTTGAATTAATTAAAAATGAATTCGAAATTCCTAAAATTAACTACTATTCTAATCATCTCTGCTATCAAATTTACACATCTAAGGCAACTGAATCAATACTTAGAGGACAATTGCTATGACTGCTTTAAGGATAATCCATAATTTAATTATTGCAATAATGATGATTAGTTAGGCTACTGTTGTCCCCAGTTCTCAACCTCATTTTACTGCCAGGAATCAAATAAAATAACATGTAGCAAAGGTATAAAGAGTACTTTGCTAAAGCCAACATCTTGTATGAATATAAAGCCCTAAAAATGCGGAGATATCTTGGATTTAAGTATTGATGTAAAGTTCAAAGAACAAATAATTAAAGTCAGTAATTTAAACTAGAAAAACGGTGATGCCTGCTATTGGTTGATTCAAGCAGATAAATATGATTTTACAGATGAGAGCCAGATTGTAATAGACATGAAAAATGTTGATTACCTGCAGGTAAATTTATTCAAAGGAAATGAGATTAAGACAGCAGAGCATCTTCGATCGATATCATAATTCTAAAAAATTTATCAAAGTATTCAAGATAAATATATCCTACTAGCTACTCCGTTAGCTAATCAATCATATTCATACTTCGAGGCAAGTATTAAGGTGGAAGGTTAAGTTAGAAAAGTATCTACTGAAGCTGGATTAAGAGATTTCAAAGAAGTAATGATTGTAGCAAGCGTAGGTTTGGGAGTTTTGCTTTTGATAGGTCTAGTGCTTTATTTTAATAAGGATTTTTCGAGTCGTAGAATCACATAACAGATTATTGAAGAAATTCAAATGATGCCAGTGAATGAAACAATAAATGACTTTATCTAGAAGAAAGTATAATACCAATAGGTAAATTAGGAAGAAAAGTATTAACAGGTATTCCCTATGAATAACTTCAGTACTGAAACCCCATTTTAATAATAAGAACTATGAATAAACAATGAGTTAAAGTTACTTTCTTATGGGGTTTTGGGGTTTTGGGG